CTCAATAACGCCAGTACTAGTCTGACAAGATAAAGCCTACCTCCCACTTCAAACTCCACCGACAACCAGGAAAAAAAAGGAAGAGAGTAATCCGGGAAGTCTACTTTTATAGGACTGTGAGCATCTCCGCCTTCTCTCTCTACCAACCAATACAAATAAGACATTTTTCACGCCTGGCCTGTTGGCGAGGTGCTTCAAAAAATAACAGCCAATGAGCGTTGGATTTTCGTGTGATAGAGAAAGTGGCTAAAACGTTAATGACGAAGGTATCACGCGGCATTACGGCTCCTTTGTCTTTTAACAGCTGGATCCCCGCTAAAGGAGATCTTGCGGCTACAGCAGTCTCTCCCAGTGGGGAGTGACGTCATCGCCGAGTAAGCATACCATTCTAAGCGTGTTCTGTCTTCCGACAAAACGGTTTTCTTGTTTTCTAGCCGATTTCTCAAAACATCATTCCCTCAGCGCGGTGTTCTCCAAAGAACTGCGCTTCAGCTCCCATAATTCTCGGCCGGTGTCATTCTGTAGAGGAATTACGCAAAGTGTTGTTTTAACAAGACTACCCGTGCAGGTTCATCTAATCCCCACGAGTCACGACTCGCGAGTCTTTACTAGGGCAAAGCATCTGGACCTGCTTCCAATAACGTGCGGTTGCACACATGCAATGTGTATTATGTATAATTCAAGGGTCTTCAAACTTGGCAAGTTTAAGACTTGTGGACTTCAACTCCCATAATTCCTCAGCTAACATGACTGGAGGAGGATTCTGGGAGTTGAAGGCAGTGTTCTAGGACCAACTCTCTTCATACTCTACATAAATGACCTCTGTGATCATATTAAGAGCAATTGCGTTCTTTTCGCTGATGATGTAAAGCTGTTCAATACCACAGACAATACTGCTACCCTACAAAAAGATCTTGACTATGTATCAGAATGGTCAAACAAATGGCAACTTCAAATCTATTTTTATTTATTTATTTATTTATTTGATTTGCCAATTGTTTACAAGATAATAAGTATAAGCGTATACATAGTTGTGAATACATGAAATGGGTACATATAAGAAAAATAAAAGAAGAATAAGAGAAACAATAGGACAGGGACGGTAGGCACGTTGGTGCGCTTATGCACGCCCCCTACAGACCTCTTAGGAAAGGGGTGAGGTCAATAGTAGACAGTCTAAGGTTAAAGTTTTTGGGGTTTGGGGAAGAAACTACAGAGTCGGGTAGAGTATTCCAGACATTGACCACTCTATTGCTGAAGTCATATTTCCTGCAATCAAGTTTGGTGCGGTTAACATTGAGTTTGTATCTATTGTGTGCTCTTGTGTTGTTATGGTTGAAGCTGAAGTATTCATTGACAGGTAGGACATTGCAATGTATGATTTTATATACCATGCTTAAATCAGACCGAAGACGGCGTAATTCAAGGTTTTCTAGTTCTAGAATTTCAAGTCTGGTGGCATAAGGTATTCTACAACGAGTAGAGGAGTGGAGAACTCTTCTTGTGAAATATTTCTGGACTTTCTCAATTGTGCTAATATCAGATATGTAATGTGGGTTCCAGACTGATGAACTGTATTCGAGTATTGGTCTAGCAAATGTTTTGTATGCTCTGGTTAGTAGTGTGATATTACCAGAGAAAAAGCTACGTAGGATTAGGTTAACAACTCTTAATGCCTTTTTGGCTATGTAGTTGCAGTGGGCTCTAGCACTTAGATCATTAGAGGTGAGTATTCCAAGGTCCTTTACAGAGCTTGGGTCATCAACAAGATCTTGACTATTCAGCTTGTATTTTATTTTCTGATTTTTTTTGCCAATATGTAAGACAGAGCATTTATTTGTTGAGATTTGAAGTTGCCATTTGTTTGACCATTCTGATACATAGTCAAGATCTTTTTGTAGGGTAGCAGTATTGTCTGTGGTATTGAACAGCTTTACATCATCAGCGAAAAGAATGCAATTGCTCTTAATATGATTACAGAGGTCATTTATGTAGAGTATGAAGAGAGTTGGTCCTAGAACACTGCCTTGGGGGACACCACTATTGACAGGTACAGAATTTGATAGGACGCTTCCAATTTTGACCATTTGTTGTCTGTTTGCCAGGAATGCTTCTATCCAGTTATTCAGTTGTCCAGAGATACCATAGGATTTTATTTTTAGGAGTAGTTTGTCGTGTACCACTGAATCGAAGGCTTTACAGAAGTCTATGTAGATTGCGTCTATTGCTTTGCCCTGGTCGAGTTGTGTCGTCCATATGTTTTTGCAGTGTAAGAGTTGCAGATTACAGGATAGTTTTTTTCTGAAACCAAATTGTTTATTGGAGAGTAGGTTGTTTGTCTCTAAGTGGAGGATGATGGATTGGTTAATAATTGATTCCATGACTTTACAGGTGACGCAGCATAAGGAGATTGGTCTGTAATTTTCAACTAGGCTTGGGTCTCCCTTTTTGAAGATGGGGATGACTGTGGCTTGTGACCATAGGTTAGGCAAGGAGCTGGTCCTGAAAGATTTTTCAAAGATTATGCTTAGAGGTTTGGCTATGGCAGTGGATAGCTTTTTTAAGAAGTAGGCACATATTCCATCCGGTCCAATAGATAGAGATGGTTTTAGATTGCGTAGTGCTTTTTCAACATTGTCTTCTGTAAAATCGATATGTATTAGATCATTGTTGTTATCTGTGGTACGGCTAGGAAATACTGGGCATGATCCATTGCTGTTTACAAATACTGAGCCGAAGAATGTGTTAAAGAGGTTGGCTTTAATGGTGTCGTCGTTGCAGTCTTTACCATCAGGTCCTATCAAGGGTGGGATGGACCTTGAGTCTTTTAGTTTGTTGTTTACAAAATTGTAAAAAGCACGGGTGGAATTGGTGCTTAGAAGGTTTTCCTCTTGTTTAATGTGATAATTGGTGCATTCGGTCTTTATCTGGTGGCATAAATTTTTGTATCGGCTTTTGAAATTGGCAACGTGACCAGATTTGTTTTTCCGCCAGAGTGATCTCTTTTTGGATTGAAGTTTCCTTATTGTTATGGGTAATCTGCTTTTTTGTTTTGTTTTGGGAGTTGTTGTTGGTACATATAGTTTGATGACTCTTTTGACTTCAAGTAAAAATATGTTGTAATGGTCTTCAACAGTATTGCATCCAGTGAATAGAGATTGCCAATCAAGGGATGAGAGATCGTTGTCTATAAGATCATAGTTGCCTTTTTTGAAGTTACAATTGGGGATTACATCATTGTGGTGATTTTTGTGTGGGCGTATGTTGAGACAAAAGTCAATCATATTGTGGTCACTGCTGGAAAAGGGTTCTTTAGTTTGTATTCCGTAAATTAAATTCAAACTATTGCAGAAGATGAGATCGAGGCAGTTGTTTAGTCTAGTGTTGTTGGTTACTAGTTGTTCCAGTCCCAGATTTGTAATAGCATTGTAGAAGGTTGTGTGTATGATTTCAGTTGTACAATCATTTAGGGTCCAGTCAATATGAGGTAGATTGAAATCGCCAAGAAAGATAAAAGGGTATGGGCAGGATGCAGCCCATGTTAGTAATGTATTTAGCTTGTTTACATGTTCGATGTCATAATCAGGTAAGAATCGAATTGTGATATTTAAGGATAGTTCACAGATGATGGTCTCAGGAAGAGCAAGCTCCTGGGTAACTTGGATATTTTTTAGATGTAAGGACTTTTTATAGAAGATAGCAACACCACCTCCTCTACGAATTTCACGATCTGATCGGTAAACATGATAGTCTCTTACTGTGGTAATGGAGTCAGGGAGAGATGCATTGAGCCATGTTTCACAGACAAATATAATGTCGAATTTAGTAGGAGGAAAAATTCAGGTATTTTATTCACGAGGCTTCTTGCATTGAGTAGTTTGCATTTAAGGCCAGCAGTAGTTGGAATTGAGGTAGTTAGGGGCGTGCATGCCTAGTCTTGGGTGATGGTGGATCGGTTGAGGTAGGGTTGTGGTTGAGGGTTAAAGCTGAGTTGCGGGTTGTGTGGCTTACTTTTGATACAGTCAGCATGGTAGTCAATGTACAGGTCCTTCTCTCCATTGTCTAGACGTTTTTTGAGTTCGGTGCGGAGTACACGGGAGCGGGCACGTTGCTGTATGGTTAGATCAGGGCGACAACGGAGGTTCTTATGGTTGGTGTTGGTTTTGGCGAGTGAATTTATAGTGTAAATGAATTTACGTTTGCTTGATTCATTTTTGCAAATGACCCTGCACAAGCGTGGGGCCACAGAGCCGTCTCTGTTTTTGAGCTCTCGGCCAATGCGGGAAATGTCAAGTATTTCATCAGCGGAGATGGTTGATGCTTGATAATCACTGATGATGTTTCGGACAGTTGTGATGTCATCATTGTCATTGATGGCCTCTAGACCAAATAAGATGGCGTTTGGACGTTTCCGTTCACGCTCAACAGCTTCTCTGATGAGGATTGGGATATCAATATTTGTCTGGGTTGTGTTTATTTGTGGATTGGGTTTTGGATTGGGTTGTGGTTGTTGGGTAGAGATGTGGTTAGTAGCTATTGGATGTTCAGGTTTTTGCGTTGTGTCTTTTTTTTTTCAAGGTTGGATATTCTTTCTTTTACTGCGTCCAGGGATGCTACTATGGTGTTAAGGGATGTTTCAATGGTTTCAATGGTATCAACTCTTTCCAACAGATCCAGTTTGGGTTTGCATGGTTTGCAGAGATATGGAAACTCATTGGATGATTCCAGGTATTGAATAAATTGCTTGGTTAATCCCAAGCAGTCATGATGAGCGTATTTTTGTAGCATTTAAGGCATGTGCAGGAGTCTTGTGGTTCATTGGTGGGGATTATCTTCTCTTTAGGTTGTGGTTTGGCATTGGATTTTCTTTTTGGCATGGTAGGTTTGTTAAGATAGTACGTTGATTGAATTAATTAAAGGGACAATTTTTGCTTTATTGTATTTCACTTGACCTTCAGTTAGGTAAACCTTTGCCGCGCCAACCTCTGTTCAGGCTTTGCTTTACTGTTAAACTATACCTTTGGTGAGAAAACCTCAATTCTGGCTTTCCTTTACTGTATTTCATTTGACCTTCAGTAAACTATATCTTTGGCGCGTGAACCTCTATTCTGGCTTTGCTTTACTGTATTTCACTTGACGTTCAGTAAGCTATACCTTTGCCGCGCCAAGCTCTGTTGTGACTTTGCTTTACTGTTAAACTGTACCTTTGCCGCACAAACCTCTGTTCTGGCTTTGCATTTATGTATTTCACTTGTGCTTCAGTAAACTATACCTTTGCTGCACAAATGTGTTTTCTGGCTTTGCTTTACTGTTAAACTATACCTTTGGAGAGTGAACCTCAGTTCTGGTTTTGCTTTACTATATTTCACTTGACTTTCAGTAAACTATACCTTTGGCACGCGAACCTCAGTTCTGACTTTGCTTTACTGTTAAACTATACCTTTGGCACGCGAACCTCTGTTCTGGCTTTGCTTTATTGTATTTCACTTGACTTTCAGTAAACTATACTTTTGGCGTGCAAACCTCAGTTCTTGCTTTGCTTTACTGTATTTCACCTGACTTTCAGTAAACTATACCTTTGGCACGCGAAACTCAGTTCTGACCTTGCGTTATTATATTTCACTTGACCTTCAGTAAAATATACCTTTGGCGCGCGAACCGCAGTTGTGGCTTTTCTTTACTGTATTTCACTTGACCTTCAGTAAACTATACCTTTGGCGCGCGAACCTCTTTTCTGGCTTTTCTTTATTGTTAAACTATACATTTGGCGCGCGAACCTCTTTTCTGGCTTTGCTTTACTGTTAAACTATACTTTTGGCATGCGAACCTCAGTTCTGGCTTTGTTTTATTGTATTTCACTTGACGTTCAGTAAAATATACCTTTGGTGCGCAAGCTTCAGTTCTGTTTTTGCTTTATTGTATTTCTCTTGACCTTCAGTAAACTATACCTTTGACATGCGAACCTCTTTTCTGGCTTTGCTTTAGTGTTAAACTATACTTTTGGCACGAGAATCTCAGTTCTGGCTTTGTTTTATTGTATTTCACTTGACCTTCAGTAAAGTAAACCTTTGCCGCGCCAACCTCTGTTCAGGCTTTGCTTTACTGTTAAACTATACCTTTGGTGAGAAAACCTCAATTCTGGCTTTCCTTTACTGTATTTCACTTGACCTTCAGTAAACTATATCTTTGGCGTGCGAACCTCTGTTGTGGCTTTGCTTTACTGTTAAACTATACCTATGGCGAGCGAACCTCAGTTCTGGTTTTGTTTCTTTGTATTTCACTTGAGCTTCAGTAAACTATACCTTTGGCGCACAAACCTCAGTTCTTTTTTATTAAAAAAAAATTTTTATTGGTTTTTAAAACGAACATAGACAAACAAAACATAAAAACATCAAGCCATCTTGCATATATATACATACAGTGTGCCGGTTGGTTTACAAATTTTTTGTGCATCCATTTCGTAGTCTTCAATTACAATTACATTGTATATATTCTCATATTTTCAATCAAGTATTAAATACATTAATATCATTGTTAATCAATCATTTGACTATACTTTTATTCATTCATGTTTCATGAAATAATCATATTTTACTTAATTTGTTTTATGACAGTTCATATTATCATCTCTAATCTACCCTACAATCATTTTGTAGATATAATAAGAAAAGAATACATCTTTATATATTTATTATTTTCTAAGAATCTACATATTTCATTACCATATTTTATTGTCTAACCATTGATAGAATAGATCCCAAATTTTATAAAATTGTTTATCATCTTGTTCTCTAATTTGAAATGTCAATCTACTCATTTAAGCACATTCCAATATTTTCTTAATGATTTCCTCCTGTGATGGTATTTTCTCATTTTTCCAGTTTTTAGCAAATACATTCCTAGCCGCTGTTAATACATTTACAATCAGGTATTTCAATTCTTTACTATATATTTCAGGTAAAATTCCCAATAAAAATATCTCTGGTTTCAAATCTATATGCTTTTTTGTCATTTTTTCCAAACACGTGCGGATTTTAGTCCAATATTTTTTAGCATCCGCACAAGTCCACCACATATGGTAATATGTGCCAGGTGTCTGATGACATTTCCAACATTTTTCAGATTTGTTCTTGAACATTCTTGCTATTCTTGTCAGGGGAAAATGCCACCTGTAAAACATCTTATACAAATTTTCTTTATATGCTGTTGACATTGTCATTTTATAATTTTGAGACCACAATTTTTGCCATTTCTCTAAATCAATCCCATATCCAAAATTCTTCCCCCAAGCAATCATTGTTTCTTTAACTTGTTCTTCTTCTAGTTTAATTTCTAATAAGTATCTATATAATTTTTTAATCACCATTTCATCAGTACCTGTCAAAATCTTATCTAAAACAGTCAGTTTATCGTAGAAACCTTCTGTTTTAGAGTCTTTATCATACCTTGAATGTATTTGCGCATATGAAAAACAATTCATCTTTATACCTTGTTCCTCTAGTTTTTGTATAGATTTGAGTTCACCCTTTTCATTCAATATTTCACCATATCTAACTGTTTGTTCCTTTTTGTATATTATAGCAGTGGTCCCCAACCTTTTTTGTACCAGGGACCAGTTTCAAGCAGAAACACTTTTTCAAGGACCGGGGGGGGGGGGGAGTCCGAGTTTGGTGGTTTGCTTGCAGACGTTTCATTACCTGACTAGGTAACATCTGATGTTGTTACCTAGTCGGGTAATAAAACGTCTGCCAGCAAACCACCAAGTTCAGGGAGCGCCAATGCCTCCTCATTGCAACCCTGAGCGACAGATATTCTCTTCTATTGGGACATTTAAAACGGAGGGTTTCAGCTGCAGATTCAGGAACTGCGCCGGGCTGAGGAGTGCCTTCAAAACTGAGCGCTGGGCGGCGGCGGCCCACGGCTCTCGGCCCTGCCTCCCTCAGCCCCATCCCTCAGGTGTCTGTCTCCCTCCCTCCCTCAGGTGTCTGCCTCGTTCCTCTCTCAGTCGCTCTCTCGTTCCTCCACCAGCCCAGGAAGAAACTGCTTCAAAGAAGCCGGCAGCGTGGCTTTTCCTGTCGGCGCAGCTCCTTCGAAGCGCCCGTTCACCCCCACCCCGCCGCCCGCACACGGTTCAATCCAGTGCTCCGTTCTGCCTGCCTGCCTGCCTGCCTGCCGGCTTCTTTGAAGCAGTTTCGTCCTGGGCTGGTGGAGGAGCGAGAGAGCGACTGAGAGAGGAACGAGGCGGGAGGAAACCGAAGCTGCTGAGCCAGAGAGCAGGACAGGCTTTGGTTGGTTCCTCCCTCCCCTTCTTTCATTTGTGTCCTTGATCCCTGATCCCAGCAGCATTCACCGAAGGCGAAGAAAGCCGCCATTTTTTTAATTTTATTTTCTTTGCGGCCTGGTACAAAGTGATCCACGGACCGGTACCGGTCCGCGGCCCGGTGGTTGGGGACCCCTGTATTATAGGATAAGAAAATGCTTCAATAGTCGATAGCCAGACTGGAATTTTCAAATAACATTGTCTTTTAGTCTGCTCCCAATTTAACCACAGAGACTCCCGTATATAATGTCTTCTAAAATACCCCTGTGTTTTAGTTCCTTTATACCATAGAAAAGCATGCCACCCCAACAACAGACCATGTCCTTCTAATGTCAACAATCTAGTATTTCTTAATTTTATCCATTCCTTAACCCACATCAAATTTGTCGCTTGGTAATACAACTCCCAATTAGGCAAACCAAATCCTCCTCTTATTCTGGCATCTTGCAAAAGTTTTAACTTTATTCTTGCTTTCTTACCTTGCCATATATATTTCAACACAATTTTATTTAAATCTTCAAAGTAATCTTTTCCAAGCCTAATTGGAATTGTTTGGAACAAATATAAAATTCTGGGTAATATATTCATCTTGCTTGTTGATATTCTCCCTATTAATGACAGTTGTAAATTTTCCCATTTCGCCAAATCTAGCGCTATCTGCTGCTTAAGTTTGATATAATTATTCTCTTTTAGTGTACTGCATCTTGCTGTCAAATGTATCCCCAAGTACTTGATCTTATTCATGACCTAAATTTTCAATAGATCTGCCAGTTCTTCCTTTTGTCTTGATAGCATATTCTTTGTCAAAATCTTTGACTTATCTTTATTTATTTTCAAACCAGCCACCTTTCCATATGTCTCTATCTTTTCTATCAGTTTTGATGCTGTTTCTAGTGGGTCTTCTAAAATGAAAACCAGATCATCTGTGAATGCTTGCAACTTAAATTCTTCCTTTTTAATTTTCATCCCTTTTATATCCTTTTCTTCTCTAATATTTCTGTTTAGCACTTCCAAGGTTAACAGAAACAACAGAGGTGATAGTGGGCACCCTTGTCTTGTTCCTTTTCTTGTATCAATAGAGTCTGTCAGTTCTCCCTCTATCATTACCTTTGCCGTTTGCTTATGATATATAGCTTCTATTGCTTGAATAAATTTTTTAGCAAAGCCCATCTGTTCCAGCTGTAATAACATGAATCGCCAATTCACATTATCAAATGCCTTCTGTGCATCTAGAAATATCAAAGCCATTTGTTTTTCAGGGTGTGCCTCGTAGTATTCCAAAGTGTCCAAGATTACTCTCATATTATCTTTAATTTGTCTCTTTGGCAGAAATCCATTTTGATCAGGATGGATAAAATTGTTTAAGTATTTTTTAAGTCTTTCTGCCAATATTGAAGCAAAAATTTTATAATCTGCGTTTAGTAAGGAAATAGGTCTATAGTTCTTGATTTGTAATGGATTGGCCTCGACAAGTGTAATATAAGCTTCTGACCATGATTTAGGTATCTTCTTCTTTAACATAACTTCATTCATAACTTCTAGCAATGGAAGGTTCAACGATTCTTGTAGTGTTTTATAAAATTCTGCCGGAAGTGTTGTAATGACGAGGCAGTCGAGGTGTTTGATCATGATCAAATGAATCATGATGAACTTTATTGGAGTCTAGTCTTGCATTTATACACATTTTTAGTAATCCTCTAACATTGGTTAACTTTAGTTATTGCTTAACCTTCATTACTGTTTAGCATAGTAATTAACACAATTAACTATCTCTAGTTAAAGTCTAACATATGTTTACTTCTTCTCTCTCTAATCCTCCTTTACATTAATGACTTTGTTTGCCTGAGTTGTAATTACTTGTAAACATTCTTAATATGAGGTTTGCCATCCAAGATAAGAGCATTCCTGCAATTACAACTCTACATATCCTCGTTTTTTATTTTAAATGGAGGATTCAAAGATTTATGAATGTATCGCAATTGTAGAGGATTAAGAGAGGGGAAAGCAGGATGAAACAATGCGAATAAATTTGGAATACATTGAATAAAACAACAGGTTACAATTAGTACAATAATAATAATTATAATATAAAAGAAAAACTGTCTGAGCCAAGACCAATCACGGAGCCAATTGGTTAGCCACTCAAAAGGTGAGTACTGAGCATGGATATTATTTTGAATGTATGATTGTAAATTGGCAAGCTCATCCTCAATAGTTTTATTCAAAGAATGAAAAATTCTGAGGATGAACATTAGTGGCATATTTATCAAAAAAGAACCACATATTAGGATCTTTAATCTGCCAACCAGCGCATATCGATCCTGTATTAGATTGATCAGAGGCATTAAAAATAGGAAAATTGTCAGGATACATATCAGGCGCTATATTAAGTCCATACAAAGAAGAATTAAAGGTACCTGACAACCAATAGTAGTCAGAACAATAACTATAATTCCCTAGCTTTTTTAATATGTGCTGAACAGCATCATAATCAGACCAATTATGAAGCCAAGCATGACAACAGAAACACAGACCCCTTGTAAATTGACTAACTTTCAAGTAACACCAACGGACAGAATTCAATTGCATAGGGGGTTTAGAAAATAGCCAGGATTGTGAAATAGATTGTAGTTGTGAGACAATAAATGTAGAAGACATGATCAAGTTAGGGGTAAAAGAAATTTGACCAAATGCCATTGGGGGCTCATAGTATAAAGTAATATTTGTGCCATGGGTCATAAACATGTATTGGGCATGACGAACCTACAAATTAGGGTTAAGACGAACCACAGAAGTGTCATTTTGAGCAGAAACACCATTAACCATTAACAAGAAAATACAAAGTAAAATTGTAACAGAATTAGCAGTAATAATAGCAA